GGCTAATTTTTTCTATATATTTTTAGTTGTCCGATTAATTTCTTTCTATTTTTAGTAGAGACGGGGTCTCGCTCTTGCTAAGGCTGAGCTCAAACAATCCGCCCGCCTCGGCCTCCCAGAGAGCTAGGATTACAGGCGTGAGCCACCGCACCCGGCCTAGCACTTTTGTTTTTGTGTGGAAAATAGCCATTGAGTGTAAGACAGCCAAATTTAATGATTGTTGGAAAGGTAGTCCTTGTGGTCTGAAGATATTTACACAGTACTCTCTCAATGAAAATTGATTCAGGAGAAATTTAAGAGCAACCTACGAAGACATTTCTGTATTTGGCATTCTGGAAATTTTCAAAAGTCTCTAGGTATATCCCATAAAAGACTACTGTAATGTTAACTCTGGGTAACCTGCTGATTGAAAAGATTATTAAACTTGATATCAGAAGGTAAGTATTATAATCCCAGGAATGCACCTGCTGGCTATGTGACCTTGATTAAGTCATACCATGTCTTATATGAGCTTCATATTCCTTTTGTAAAGGAGAATAAGAACTTTGGATCTGCCAGGCTGCTAATTATGTAGAACACATTGTACTCTAGAGAAGGATAGCCATCTGGTTAAGGGAAGGGGTGGCCCTGAAATCCAGGATACTCTGTGAAACAAGTTGTGTGCCTTAGCATGGGGCCGAGTCCACCCAGAGGTTTTCCAGTTTTCAGAGGCCTGTGTGTTCACCAACGTAGTACACAGCAGCACTGCATCTTCCTGGGTGGGGAGTGGAGATGAGACACTATTAATTTGCTCAAAGATGCTGTATAGGCAATGGAAGGTCTGTTATGCCTACCTCACAGGATTGTTATGGATGGAGGACAAAGATTTGTGTGAAAGTGCTTTGAAAAATCTAGTGTAACACAGATATAATATTTTGCTTTTTCTGTTCATCTGTGGTTTATTTTAGGGTAGATACAACAAGAATTGAATACTCCATTCCTTTAAGAGAAAACTGGGCACTACCATATTTTGCATGTCAAGTTGCTGCACTTACAGGCTACTTAAAAAGCAACTTACATGCTAATGTACAGGTAAGATACAAATCTGTTTTATATATTACAATTAGTTGTGATGTATTGCAAATGCGGTATATAATTTTTTAAAAAAATTTGATCATATTAAGAGTTAAGTTATATTCGATGAAACCTAGTTACTATATGATAAAAGATATGGCTAGGTAGTTTTCTTATAACACTATTATATAATCAGATTCTGTTATTAATAGTAAGTTATTTTTAAGAGAAAGGAACTGCTTTATTGTTTTAATGCAGTTAGTTGGCAAATATATGATGAACGTCTATTTTGAAAATTAATCTGTCCTACTACTCTTTTAGCACTTCTAAAATATTGATGGCCATTAGTCATCATAATTTAAAGAAATATTAATGAAGATACAAAGAGTGACCACAAATGACAGCAGTGTTACCTTTGATGGTAGCACTGTATATTCTTTGTTTTCTTCTCCTGGTTTGTGTGACTGAGGTGTAGGTAGATTAGTGCAAGTTTCAGAGAACTGTCCCGGATAAGTTAATTCTTACATTGTTGTTGCTACAAATCCTTATAGCACTTGGACGAAGCCTACAGACTCTGTCTCAGAATAATGATTTAAAATGCGTAAAATGAAATAAATGGGATTACAAAGGCAAGAATTATACTGAAATTGACTGAAGTACAGCAATCTGTTGACAATCTGCCTATCTTGGGTTAAGAATTCCTGACTAGAAAAAGAGAGCAGAGGATACGACCAAGGAAAGGCTTCTATTAGACCTTGTTGTCTGAGAAACAAGATGCACTTATGGTTCTTTTTTGAAATCTCTGAAAAGTATACTGTTCTCTCTTCCTTTCAGCGGTGATAAATGTCCTGAGTATAGCAAACTTTATTATTTCATTTTTATAATGGTAATATTTCATTTTTATGTAAAATAACATGACACATTTCAGATTTGTAATTTTCCTGTTTGATATTTTTGTCTAAATAGCTTTCTGAGCAAGAATATTTAGTGTAATAGTCAAGGAGTCTATGAGTGTTTTCCTATCAGATTGTATAGTTGTCTCCTAGAGAATAATAATTCTTCAGTTTTTGTTTTTTAATTTCAAAATATTAAGGGGGTACACAGGTTTTTGGTTACATGGATCGCTTTTGTAATGTTTGAGGCATGGCTATAAGTGTGTCCATCACCCAAATAGTGTTTATTGTACCTGTTAGGTAGATTTTCGCCCATCCCTTTTTCCCTTCAGTTTGTATTAATAAATGAAAGAGTTTAGTATAGTGAAACAAACTGCCTAGGCTTCTTTATATTCACCTTTATTTTGCACTAAAACGAAACTTTTGTTGCTCCCCAAAACGGTTTTATTAAGTATCTTTTTAATGAAATCATTGTTCTTATTTGTTATTTGAAATTTAAGAAATTTTTAAAATGTCAGTAGATTAATACAAGTGTTTTTTGTTACATGGATGAATTGTAAAATGCTGAGGTCAGGGCTTTTAGTGTACGTGTCACCACAATGGTATACATTTTACCCGATAGGTAATTTTTATCCCTCAACGCCCTCCCTCCCTTTCCCTTAGTTTCCAATGTCCATTACAGCACTTTATGACTGTGTGTACCCATCGTTTAGCTCCCACTTGTAAGACAGAACATGTAGTGTTTGTTTTTCCATTCCTGAGTTACTTCACTTAGGATAATGGTCTCCAGTTCCATCCAAGTCTTACTTATTTTAAAAGTTTTTTGTAAACTTATTTTTCCCTTTTGTAGCATATTCTTCTTTTTTTTTTTTAGCATATTATTCTTTTTGGAGTATCTTTTTTCATTGCCATGTTATCATGTTTTACATCTATTCTTTCTAATTTTTTTAATTAAAAAAGTAATATACGTTAGCATATAGTAAAAAACAATTCTGTCAGTGCAAATGGTATATAATGAAAAGTATATTTTCCTGCAGTTTGCTATCGTTACCAAGGACCTTGTACTTTTGAAGGGATCCAAGAATAGTTCATAATCTTAGGTTACATTTTGTTTCTTTTTTTTTTAAATTTAACCACAATTATTTTTCTATATTTTGAAAGTACTCCGTAATATCCTCCTCCACTCCCTCTTTGTCTCTTAATGTTAAGATAAAGGGGGAAAATTGTATTTATCAGTTATATGGTTATAAGTAGTCATTCACTCCACTGGTAGTTAAGTATATACAACAAGAGCAAAATATCTATATGCAAACACTAAAGGGGTAAGAATATTAAGGATTTTATAGAAATACACAGCAGGAAAAAAAATACCAAGTTAACTGTGATATATTCTTTTATTTATTTCTTTTTTCTTTTTTTCTTTTTCTTCAAAGCCTCTGAACTATGCTAACAACTAAATTTTTCAAGAAGCGAAACTGTCCAATCATTCAGTCATGTTTATTCTATTTCCCTCCCTCCCTCTCCTATTTCTATTTTTAGTTTAAATTAGTTTAAGATTCACAAGAAGTTACAGAAATAGTATAGAGAATTACCATGTTCCTCTCACCCAGCTTCCCCCAATACTACCTTATTTGACCATAAAACATTGTCAAAGCCAAGAAAAATTGATACAGTACTATTAATTCAGGTACAGACCTTCACCAGTCTTTACATGCACTGGTTTTTTGGGACCGAGGGATGTATAGTTGTATGCATTGTTATCATGTGTAGATTTGAGTAACCATCATCATAATCAAGATACAGAACTTGGGCCGGGCGCGGTGGCTCACGCCTGTAATCCTAGCACTCTGGGAGGCCCAGGTGGGCGGATTGCTTGAGCTCAGGAGTTCGAAACCAGCCTGAGCAAGACCGAGACCCCGTCTCTACTAAAAATAGAAAGAAATTAATCGGACAACTAAAAATATATAAAAAAAAATTAGCCGGGCATGGTGGCGCATGCCTGTAGTCCCAGCTACTTGGGAGGCTGAGGCAGAAGGATCGCTTGAGCCCAGGAGTTTGAGGTTGCTGTGAGCTAGGCTGACGCCACGGCACTCACTCTAGCCCGGGGAAAAGAGTGAGACTGTCTCAAGAAAAAAAAAAAAAAAAAGATACAGAACTTGTACAGTGGAGGCATCACCGGTAAGGAACTCTGTCATGTTACCCCTTCATAGTCACATCCTTCCTCCAACCCTAACCTCTGGCAACCACTGATCTGTTCTCTATCACTATGATGTTGTCACTTTGAAAAGTTATATAAATGGAATCATAATATTAACCCTTCGAGATTGACTTTTTTCACTCAGCCTAATAATGCCCTTACAACCATCTGAGTTGTTGTATGTATCAATACTTTGCTCCTTGTCATTGCTGAGTAGTATTCCAGCAACATGTATTCTTTCAATCACATATTGTGTACTTTGCTTCCCATTCTTGAGGTTAGATCTCGTGCCCCGTTGCAGCAGGATATCCAAGCTCAGATCTTTTGTGCAGTTATCTGGAGTCATCCAGAGACATCTGCGGTTGATTACTGAAACCTATTTGATGTGTCACTTAAATCATTTATATAAAAAGTTCACACTATAGGCACGGTGAAAATGAAGCCCTGTGAGGCACTGTGAGCAAGGTAAGGGGTAGACAAGACTGCATAGAACTTTGAAAATGTTCAGGGAAAGGAAAAACTTAGCTAATTGTCCAGATTGTGTTTGACATATAGTTCTGTCTTTAAGACCTATTTTCACTACATATTCCTAGAGTAGTTTGAGAATAAATCCTTGGAATTAGTGGTTTGTTTTATTATGTTGTAGCTTTTCCCTAGAATCTAAAAAGTAATCTCTAAATGCCCAGGAGGTTAATTAGGCTGGGTCTAGATTTGAGCCTTTATTGATTTATGGAACTGGTTTCTCTGGGGATGATGGTTTCAGGCCTGGTTATTATAGTTCTGATTGTTCCACCTTAGAAGGTTTCCAGAACTCTCTCCCTATATGTAGCTATGGTGGTAGAAGGAGCAGGAGCTTATATGTTCTCTCAGTGTGGAGCCCTTCTGAGCTTTGCAGTTGGTGTTGTTTGACCAACTGGTGGAATTTTGCCATCTCTTAAATTTTGTTCTCTGGTCTTAATCTTATTGAGGATACTGGAAAATTCTGTTATCTTCTGATGGCTAAGGTATTTCTGACTCTGGAATTTATCTTTGAGTATAGTCAGTTGAGCATGAAAGATTTGGTTTTAGAGAACATACTTCTCATCTTAGGTTTCTTGACCTGATCTTTATTATCCTTCTCCTTCACTGTTCTTATATGAATGAGGTCATTTGACACTATAACCTATGGAGAAATTGAGGATAAAAAAGTTGGATTCATGGAGGAAGGAGAGACTTGTTGGAAATATGTTATGTGACAGTGGATTTGCCACAGACTTGGATGCTTACTGAGGGATCACTTGGGAAACAACATTTGGAAGGATAGAACTGATTTAGCCAGGCAGATTTCAGGCAAGGGCAATGAAATCCTTGTGTTTAGTATTTAGCAGAGGAAAACAGCTGAGAGTTTTATATGGTTGACAGTACAAGCATTGGGGAAAGATAAGGCTACACTTGTGTTAAGAGAAAATGAAGAAAGCAAAGACCTGGGGGTATAGGCTGATATGTAAACAGATTATTTAAATGGAAGTTCTTAGGAAAATATGAAGCACCGTGGAAGTGAAAGTATTATTTTCACAGCAAAAGTAGTTACTTTCACAATAACAAAGCTCACCAGCCAAGTCTTGTATAAGCCACTATTGTCTTATATTTATTGCTTTACTTCTTTTGAGATGAAAGAAAATTGTATTGAATTTTCGTTTTTCTTTTCCCTTTGTCTTTCCGAAATTCTCAATATGATGTTGATCATTGAAGGACGAGTGTTTGTTTTCTCTCTGGAGTTCCTTGTTTAAGATCTTACTGTTTTTGTGAGGATTTAATAGTAATTATGTGATTTAAAAACAAATTTTCAAGAATTACATAGCTTAAAGTTGAACCAATAACAGAGCTGCAACTTTGAGGTAAAAACCTAATAGATTTTTATAGTATAATAATAAAGCTTTTGATGCTTAATTTCTTCCTATTTTTTCTCTAGAGGTTTTGCTACGTGTTGATCAATGTTTCAACATACACATTTATGATGATGTGGGAGTACAGCCACTATCTCCTGTTTCTTCAAGCAATCTCTCTGTTCCTGCTAGATATCTTTTCACTGGAGCAAAATGACAAGGTATTATGGCATTTCAAAATGATGATTTTAAATCCAAAGAATAAATGTTTTTATGTTATGTTTTAAAACCTCCCTTTCCTTTCTTTATCCTATATGCTCAGATGGTTCAGAGTCCTGATAAGTACCAACATTTAAGTTATTTGAACAGAGAGAATTTAACACAAAGAATTGCTAACCAAGTGTAAAGTCACTAACTTGTTAATTGAAAGGGTAATAAGAGCCTGGAAGTTTCACAGAGTAAACAACTACAAGATGCAGCTACCACCACCAGGGCTGAGAAAACAAAGGGGAAAATATACAATTATTAAAACTTAGAGACATAGGGTAGGGACCTTATGGAGCTGAAACTCAGACTTCTGAGAAGTGGCCACTGCTCAGCTTAGCTGGTGTCTCTGGGCTCAAAAGAAGGGCCCTTCAGAACTGGAACCCAGGCCTCTGATGATGGGATTCTGGCCAACTGGTCCTGGTTCTCTGGGGCTAAAGGATGTGATGAAGCTGGTTCTTCAAATGTTGGTAAAAGTGTACCTGTATTCAGTGTTCACGCAGAAAGGAATTGCTCTGTTGGGGTGAGGAAGCGTCACTGAGGTGATGATTTCAGGAACCACAGCAAATAGGAAACAAGAGGAAGGGGCAAGCCTTTCCTTCCTCCTCCAGCCTTGCAGTGTCTGTCTAGCATTTCCTATTGGCAGAGCTTCATAGGGAACCAACTGGAAAAGGAGAAATGTAGATTATAGAGTCCCAGCCCCAGCATTACCAAGCAGAGGATGAAGAGTAGGTTTGGAGCTAAGAGACAGTGACTGGTAACTGGCACACATTACCAGCACCTGGAAGACTCCATCATGCTCTCTCCCAGTTATTACTTCAGCCCCCAAGGGTAGTTACTGTTCTGATTTGTAACAGTGAGGTGTCTTTTTTTCTAAAGTGGATCTAGCTTGTTACGGATTTTTTTTCTTTCTGTCCTTTTTTATTTGTTTTTTACTTTAACATTCTGGCTTTTAATTTTTCTTCCTAACTAATGCTTTTAGTGTTTTAGTTTTCCCTTTGTAAATTAATTAATTTATGATGCATTAAGTTATTATACTATTTAATTTTAGAAAAAATCTAAGACATATAACTTCCTGGGAGATCTTCTATTAGAACATTGAACTTCCTTATGCTCACTGTAAACTGGATCAAAAGCAAAAATACTTTTCTCTGGGGGTACATTTCATGGCAGTATATTTTCACTGGGTAGGTTTGGGAACGGCTGCTAAAGATCAAGATTTTTGATTTATGCAGTTTGAGGTTACATAGATGAATTTTAATATCAGAGCAAATCAAGTGAGATTAAGTCAGTGTCTGGAAGTTCCTTTCAGTCTGATTTAGACACCGGTAGTCTTAAAGCTCTTTACTTTGTTTTCAGAGAGTTCTAAGAAAAAAGTGATAAATTTATTATATACCATAACATTACAAATATGAATTCAATGTTTGTATAATATTGTCTTAAATTATAGTAGAGCATTTACTGTATAATTACAGTCAAGTCTAAACAAAACTAATGAAAAGATGTATAATAAAATTTATATTATTCTCATTCATTTTATTTTCGTTACAACAGGTTTATGAAGTTTACAAAATCTATATATTTTCTCTCTTTCTGGGATATTTACTGCAATTTGAGAATCCAGCTTTATTAGTATCTCCTTTATTAAGTTTAGTAGCAGCCTTAATGCTTGCTAAGTGCCTTCAGGTAATTAGAATTGCCTTTTTATCATTCTTGTGATAAATTTTTAAATTGTGGATTTTTTTTACACCTCACTTCTTTGTTCATGTGATTTTTCCCCCATAGCTGAATGTGAAGAAAGGAACTTTTGTAGCTAAAATAATGAAAGTAATTAATTTTTACTTGGTGTGTACTCTGACAGTGACATTGAATATCATAATGAAGGTAAGCAACTGTCTGAGATTCTTATAGTACAGCAAATTGAATAATGAATTATATTGGACTAAATTTTAATGAGAATAATGAGATAGCAAGGTAATGGAGTTGAAACAATGTAATTTTGAGTTGAACAATGATCATAAATAGCATATTGGGTGAAAAAATAGGGTTCCGGAGTCTTCTCTCTGTATACTTAAAAAGAAAAAGAGAAATACACTTTATTTTCAATTTAATTTAAAATATCATCATCACCCAATTAACATTAAGCAATATATGGAATAAATTGAGACAAATGAAAGGTGTTCAGAAGAGTGGGTAGGTTACTCCAGCCAGGTGGGATATGGTTGAAATTTCCTACTACCCCATTTTAGTTATTATGTTTAAGCATAAGGTGATATGATTGACTTATGTCAGTAAATCTCTTTACTTCATAGTCATACCATGTATGATTTAATTCATATTTTTGTTTTGTAGTCTTGCTGTGTTTTCTATCTGTAGTATTGGAAAAAGCGTATTGCTATAAGCATAGTTAATATTATTTTATTTAGTTAGTGTTCTTCTCTTCTAGATATTTGTCCCACACAAAGAAAATGGGCACATGCTGAAATTCCTTGAAGTAAAATTTGGACTAAATATGACTAAGTAAGTTTTAGATTATGTAAGTTTACCTAAATCTATACCACTTAGACAATAAACAGCAAAAATACTCAATGCAGGGAAAATACACCTAATCACATAACATTTAGAAAATAATTAATTTTAGATATTATAATATCTGGGAAAAATAATATTAATATTTTTTTCTTATGTAATTATATATCTCATTTAAGTCTTCTATAAATTAGATATACTTAAACCTTCATAGTATTATAGTGGCCCTGTGCGGTAGCTCATGCCTGTGATCCTAGTATTCCGGAAGGCCAAGGCAGGAGGATCACTTTAGCTCAGGAGTTCAAGATCAGCCTGAGCAAGAGTGAGACCCTGTCTCTACTAAAAAAAAAAAAAAAAAAATGTATTATAGTATTTTAAGGCTATTTCGTCCCTTGATGAGGAAAAAAGATACAGCCTAAGGTCAGAATAAATAAAGATTTAAAATTAATAAAGCAAGGATAATTGTAACCACTACATCAACAATATGCTTACATTAAAAAGGGGCAGAAGGAGGGCAGTAAGGTATTTATTTTGTAGCAAAGAATCTCATCTTGGGGTCATAATAATTGGACCAGAAGCTAACTATTTCTTTTTTTTTTTTTTTTTGGAGATAGAGTCTCGCTCTGTTGCCCGGGCTAGAGTGCTGTGGTGTCAGCCTAACGCACAGCAACCTCAAACTCCTGGGCTCAAGCGATCCTCCTGCCTTAGCCTCCCGAGTAGCTGGGACTACAGGCATGCACCACCATGCCCGGCTAATGTTTTCTATATATTTTTTGTTGTCCAGATAATTTCTTTCTATTTTTTTTTTAGTAGAGACGGGGGTCTCACTCTTGTTCAGGCTGATCTTGAACTCCTGACCTTGCTTGAGCAATCCTCCTGCCTCGGCCTCCCAGAGTGCTAGGATTACAGGCGTGAGCCACCATGCCCGGCCTAACTATTTTTTAATTCAAAATAATGTTGTGCCTTTATTTTTTGTTGGTAAATCAGTTTTTGTTTTGTTTTTTAATCTAAAATGAAATAAATGATTTTACATATTTTAATAAAGTCTACTTGCATAACAGAGGATATATATTTACCTATGTATTTCTCTGGTTCTAATATACCTTAGAACTTTATTCTCATTTACTGGGATTATGTGGGATTGTAGATACTGTGCATAGAATTTCATGTGGTGATAGATTGCAGTTAACAAAGTATTCAACATGGTTTAAACGCTGGAGAAGTCTTCTGATGTATAAATTATATATGTATATCTACTAAAATAAAAGGATCCTTTAAGAGACCATGTGCTCCAAAAGGTAGGGACTGTGTCTTTTTTAGGTGTAAGCATAGGCCGTAATAGCAGGCAATCAGTAAAAATTGGTATAACCCTTCATAAGTGACTGGCCTTTCCATTGACTTTCCCCATCCAAGGTTAAGCTCATCTGGAGTCTCCCAAGGTTAAGGGCTGCTTTTTGCCAATGTTTATTAGTTGATGTAGTGCCCCCTTTATTCAGCATGTCAGATACTAGATTTGCATCATAAGATAATGCACTAGGTGTTTTAAGAATAAAGCATGGTTCCTGTCCTTAGAATATTGCCATCTCATTAGATAGTTTTTATACAATTAATGACATAGATGGTATAAGTAGTAAATGTGTTATGTTTAAATGTGCCAATTGGACAGTAGGATTTGGAATTCACCAAATTTCAGCAAACATTTCTGTTGAGACCGATTTGCAAGAATCACTGAAGAAATGTTAATAGATATTTATTGGATATGTAGGATAGTAGGCTGGGTGCTCTGGGGGATAAAAAAATGACTATAATCTAACACTGTAAACTGCCATGGGGAAGGGGGAAGGGAAGATTGATACTGGGAGATATGGAAAGAATATTCATTTGATTAGGATTTGAATTGAATTTAGAATTAACAACTTTAATAGGCAGATATAAAAAAGGTGTATTCATCACAGGTACAAGATATTTTTATGGCACCCTCTTAAATATACCTGCTGTCTGACACATTGTTGAACTTTAACTTTTTGTTCTAAACCCAGTGATTTGTAAAGTAGACATTCTCAGTCCATCCACGAATACTCCTGAACATCACTCCAGCTCTTCCTTCCCCAGAGGTAGGGATTGAGGATTGGAGGTGGGAGATGGATTAGAAATGAGGGTGCAGATAAAAGTACGTATAACTACGAGTCTTATTATACTTAGCTTAGGATCAGAAAAGTTTACCCTGATTTTTATAACTCACAAGATTTATACTTCAGGTTTTATGATTTCTATCTTAGTAAGTAGGTATCTCTTTTTAAAATGAATCCTAGTTGAGTTACATTTATCGATATAAAGTAGGGCTGTCCAATAATAACATAAGTGAGCTACTTATATAATTATAATTCTAGTAGCCATATTTAAAAAATAAGTGAAATGAATTTTAGTAGTATATTTTCTTTAATCCAGTATATCAAAAATATTTTTGAATGTATAAGCAATGTAAAAATTATTAATGAGATATTTTGCTTTTTTTCATTCCTTTTCTAAATTATTTTTTTCTTTGAAATCCTGGGTATATTTTATACTGAAAGTATATCTCAATTCGAATTGACCACATTTCAAGTGTTTAATAGCTACTTGTAGCTAGTAGGTACCACACTGGACAGTGCAGATGGTAGAGGTTGGCCAGCTAAATTTTTTGTTGTCTTCCAGATAAAAATAGAAATTGAAACTTCCTAAAAACTGTATTGGGCTTTAGAGATGGTCGTGTTACTAGGTAATAAAATGCAGAAGTTTTTAATGTATTACAGCAGTTTTGATGAGAGTGCATGCTTTGTTGAGGAGGTTTACTAATACTGTTATCTTCATTTATAAAGGATAGGACTTTGCTGTTATAAGTGAATGGATTTAGGCAATGTGTTTTCTTCTAGTTTCCACTGAGATTAAAAAAATATATACTTTTATGTTCACTAGTTTAAAACACTTATGATTTTAATATTGTGCTTTTTGTCTTATATAGGAATTTTACAATGAATTGGCTTCTCTGTCAAGAATCCCTGCAAGCACCATCTCAAGATTTTTTTTTGCGATTGACTCAGTCTTCTTTATTACCTTTCTATATTTTAGTATTAGTTATTTGTTTTCTTTCTATGATGCAAGTTATTTTTAGGAGAATTAAGTAAGTACCTATGGGAATCAATTACATTATTGAGTATATTATGAAAATATGTAAAATACTTATTTTTAATATCCTTCCAATATTTTTGTGTTTGTTTTAGAGCTCCTAATTCCATTCCCTCTTCATTGATATGAAAAATATTATAAGATAAGTTGACCAGAAAAATTCAAATTTAGTTTTATACATCTAAATAAGTAATGTCCAGATTTAATATAGTTATAGATTTAATATGTAACCGATATTTAAATAATCAGTTAAACTTTTATAGACCATTCACTAATTTACTCAAATTTTTACTTAATGTAAGAATAATTCTATTCAGCTTTACTCACGTTTTTACTTGATGTAAGAATAATTTCTCTGTTTAACTTAAACGAAACTAGTAGTATAAGTGATTTTAAATCATAAAGTTCTACTATTCTTGAATATTTTTATTATGTTTGAAAGGAGGTGTAATTTCTTCATCTTGGGAATTTATTCAAATTATGATTTAACTATATTGATTTAGCAATCACTACTTGAGCCATAATTAATCTTAGAAAAAGAACCTAAAAATATTTTTTATTATTCTGAAAATTCGTATTTAGTCTTTACAGTCAGTTGTCTTCAAGTTCTAAAAGCCATTTACAAAGACTTGGAGATATGTAAGTGAGGTATTTGAATAACAATATACTTTCAAGTTTTTTGTTGTGAAGAAATTTAAAATTTCAGGGATGGCCTTCAAAGATGATAAACAATGTATTTTTGATTTTTCAAAAATGTATTTTCAAAGTATTAAAAAACACATTTCCTTTCTGTAGTGGTAAGTCCCTGAAAGAAACTGTTACTCTTGAGGATGGACGAATTGGAGAAAGGCCAGAAATAATTTATCACGTAATTCACACTATTTTATTGGGTTCTCTTGCAATGGTTATAGAAGGGTAAGTTTACTTTATTTGATCTGTTTGTTTTTATAAAGATTGTCCTTTATAATAGTAATAAATGGATGTATTCAGGAATACATTTATAAAACTTTTTAAAACACAAAACATGTCCAGTGATGATCACTGGTAAAGAAAAGAAAAACTAAAAATCTATAAACTTTCTTAATCTAACTATTACCAAGGTATTTATAATACAGTGAACTGACATTTACTTATTCATGCATTTGTTTCAAAACTATTGAATGTCTTCCAAGGTCTAGGCATTGTGCTAGGTGCTAGAGACAGTGGTAGGCAAAAGTGGACACACAGTCTCTAATGTTATGTAACTTAGGGCCTAATGGAGGTGACAGCTGTTAATCATACAAAAATAAAGTTACAACTTTGGTAAATGAAGAAGAGTTAAGTGGTGTTGTGAGAACACATTGAAACAGAAGTTGACTTAAAGAGATCAGAAAGTTTCTCTAAGGAAAAGGTACTTGAGACCTGAAAGATGAGTGGGAGTGAACTAGGTGAACAGAAGAGGAAAGTGTATTCCAGGTAGAGAGAATAGCACATGCCAAGGCCTGTGGTAGGAAGGATCATGGTGCATTGTTGGAAGGAAAGGTGCTCTTTATGGCTGAAGTCTAGTGAGCATGCAGTAGTCCTTGTTGAAGTTTGAAGGTAGTTATTTTTTCTTTTATCCTTTCCCTTACCTGATTTCTTTTATTGCCTTTAAATGGCAAATGAACCCTTATGAAGTACATATGTGACCCCATTTAATGTTCAATAAGGTAGAATTTTTACATTTCATTTGCTTGATAATTTTAATGTTCTATTTGCCTTCTTACCTTTGCTAAGGCAAAATAGGTATCCCTATATTAATATTCAGGTAAGTTATATTATAGTTGTTTCGGGAGTTTGAATCCTTGAAACATCTTACACCATATATTTTTAAGTCTTCAGCTTTCAGACTTCCCTTGTTCCTGCTTTTATAGTAGGAGATATAAAAATATATAAGATAGGATTCCCAGCCGGGCATGGTGGCTCACACCTGTAATCCTAGCACTCTGAGAGGCCTGAGGTGGGAGGATTGCTTGAGGTCAGAAGTTTGAGACCAGCCTGAGCAAGAGAGAGACCCCATCTCTACTAAAAATAGAAAGAAAGTAGCTGGACACCTAAAAATATATAGAAAAAAGAATTAGCCAGGCATGGGAGGCTGAGGCAGAAGGATTGCTTGAGCCCAGGAGTTTGAGGTTGCTGTGAGCTAGGCTGACACCATGGCACTCTAGCCTAGGCAACATAGTGAGACTCTGTCTCAAAAAAAAAAAAGATAGGATTCCCCTTCCCTGAAGCCCACAGTCTTGCTGGGTAATTGCAATTTTCAAGAGTCCCTAAGACCACCCTTACTTCTGATACCAACTGTAAGTTTGGGAGTCCCCCAAACCACTCTCAGGTTCAGTAACTCCCTAGGACTCACAGAACTCAGAAAAGTCAATATACTCACTCACAGTTTATTACAGTGAAAGGATACAGATTAAATTCAGCAGAGGAAGGAGATACATAGGATAGGGTCCAGAAGACACCAAGGCACAGAACTACCAGTTGTCCCCTCCCAGTGGAATTGTGCAGATAGTGCTTGTTTCTCTCAGGAATGATGTGTGACAGTACACATGGAGTACTGCCAATCAGGGACACTCACCGAAGCCTTGTGTTCAGCGTTTTTGTTGGGGCTCAATTACTCATATGCGGTTGACCACCCTGTGTGGCTGATGTCAGTCTCCAGCCCCTGCAAAGGTTTAACTATACCATGTGGCCTAGGGCCCCCAACGTAAATTGCATTATTAGCATAGACTCTCAGGTATGACCCATTTAATCCAGTGGGCACTGGGGAGCCACTAATGCTTTTTGAGCAGAAAATGTCTTTTCATGGTTATATTTGAAAAAGATTTATTTGGTGTTTGGTTGAATTGGAGAAAAGTTGAAAGGCAGAGATGTTACTAAGGCAATAAAGTGGTGTAGAATGGATGGATACAGAGAAATCAGTGGATTTAACATCATTGGACTGATCTCTAGAGCAGAGAAGTTGTGTTCCAGGGGATATTGTATACATATAATGTGAATGGGGTCCCCTGGAACTATAAACCAGACCCTAGTATTGCTTCTGGCTGGCTGGAAGTATAGGTTGGTATTTCCAGAAATGAGGAAGTGAAGAGGAGATATTGATTGACTGGAGGAAACCAGTATAATTCCTCTGTCTTAGCAACAGGTATTCTGTGTATGCCTACTACTTCTCACAAGGCCTGAGTTAGTATTTACATTTTAAAAACCTTCATTAACTATATCCTTCTCAAATTAGTTATTTCACATTTACATAACCCTAGATCTTATACAAATTTTCTTATACTTATTTTCTAATTGTTTTCCATATGTTCACTTTTATTTCATCTTGATAAAAAGCTCCTTGAGGGCTGTAACTATGTCTTATTTTTCTTCTTTCCTTTCTAGTACTGTGGTCTAGTTTGCAGTGCATGATCAATAAATGTTTATTAAATGAATGAATATTTATTTATTTTCTCCATTCTATAGCTTTGCTGTTTTATAAAACAATAATAGCTAACATACTTTGACCTCAGATTCTTCTTGTCTCTTCTGAGTTTGATACCAAGAAATATATCATGGAAAGATCTAGTTGTTCTCCTTAGTATTAATTATAAAAGTTATCTCCTGGAATTTTCTCTTGATAATCTGTATGAAGCGCTGATACCTATAAATTTTTCTAAATTCTTCTTCTTCCATTTTCAGCTTTTACTATCTCCCATGGGATGGGCTCCTTTTGTTTTCTTTATAGTCTACAACGTAATGTACTTTCTTTTATTTATACAAGTTCATTTTTCTGTACACCTGGATTTTTAATCTTTTTAAGACCCCAATTATTTTTCTTTTTCTTTTCCTTTTTTTTTATGGAGGGGGAGGGGTGAGGTTTAGTTTCCCTTTTTTTTTGAGACAGTCTCACTCTGTCGCTCTGGGTAGGGTGCAGTGGCATCATCAAAATCCTGTGCTCAAGGGATCTTCCTGCCTCAGTCTCCCAAGTAGCTGGGACTACAGGCACTTGCCATGATGCCCGGCTAATTTTTCTATCTTTTTAGTAGAGACGAAATCTCCTTTTTGCTTAGGCTGGTCTCAAACTCCTTAGCTGAAGCCATCTTCCCTCCTCGGCCTCCCAGAGTGCTAGGATTACAGGTATGAGCCACTGTGCTTGGCCTAAGAGCCCCAATTTTTAATCTTTCTTTTTTAAAAATTAATCTCAAAAATAACATATGCAGATTTTAACAAACCGAAATAATAGAGAAATATATGAAGTGAAAAATTAAAATCCCTCCATCCTATTCTTTAGAGATTGCTACTCTTAGCAATATCTTTCCAGGTGTTATTTTTTGCTGGCACCATATATCTACATTTAAAAAAACAAAAAGCAAAAAACTAAGGTAACACTGTACATGAAGTTTTGCTTTTGCTTTTTTGTTTCTCATAATAATTTATTTAATAAATATTTATTGAAGGACACTCAGGTTGTTTCCACTTTCTTTGCTATTAAAACAACATGCTACAGTTAAAACCCTTGCGTGTATATCTTTATACACTGATGCTAATGTATCTGTAGTCTAGATTACCAGAAATGGCATTGCCTGTCTTAGGATATTTTAAACTTTTATAGGTTCTGCCAAATTACCTTCTGAAAACACTGTGACAGTTTATATATTGTCAAAGAGTACAATTTTGCTATACCCTCATCAGTATTAATGCTTTAAAATAAAATATCCTCATTTGGTAACCCATATGTCTTGATTATTTAAGAACTGGATAACAATCTGTTCCTGAAAATTAGAGGCTAAGCTTTTTCATTCTTCTTTAGCATTTTGGTATTTTCATGGGTAGTAGGAAAGAACTCATGAAAGAGAAGCTAGATAATAATGATATCCATAGGATGTCTCATATGTGACTCCTTTTGGTTTTTTCAGCTTGAAATACATCTGGATTCCTTATGTATGCATGTTAGCAGCATTTGGTGTATGTTCTCCTGAACTTTGGATGACACTTTTCAAATGGCTTCGATTAAGAACTGTACACCCAGTATTGTTGGTGAGATATTTTGTGTTAAGTACTTGTTTCTCTTCCAATTATATAAAATTGAACGCTAATAAATGGAAAACACATTGAATACAATTGAAATAGCATGAGTAAATCACATTATGATTTACAGGTAGAAAGATCCTGTGAAAAACATTTTTAAAAATAATTTATGATTTAAAAGTAATGTATTTTAATGCATACAACTTAAAAAATAAAAAGTAAAAATACAGGTGAATCAGTAGTGTAAGAGACTATCAAGAATTAATTTTCATAATTTTTTTTCATTTAGAACTATGGTGTGTTTTCTATGTGAGTAGAACATTTTACTGTGCCTACTATGTGCTATATGCTTGGAATACAAAGATAAAAAAATCATGATTAATTTCTTCAAGTAGATTATAGTCTCTTGGGCATAAAAACAGATAATAAGATATATTCACAGGGTGCTGTTAGAACACAGAGAAGGACTACTTGATTCAATTTTAGGGACTCAAAGAAGACCTTCCAATTTCAGATATGAAAGATTCAGTTATTAGGCAAATGAAAGGGAAAGAAAGGATATTCCTAGTAGAATGAAGAAGTAGAGAGGCAGGCAAAGAACATGATATAATCAAAGGGGATAAAAACAGAGACCAAGAAAGCATGGCATATTTAGTTTTATTGACACATAAAGTAAGGGTGGTCAAGAAATGAGACAGGAGAAGTAGAAGATGTTGGGATCATGGTGGCCTTGGGTATCATGCTGTGGAGCTTGGTCTTGTCCTCTGGGCAGTAGGATGGCATTGAAATTTGTGTGCCTTGTGGAGAGTGAGTCAGACTTATATTTTCTGTTAGCTCACTCCTACAATTCTGTGAAGGATAGGCTTAAAGTTAACAGACTTAAGTCAGGAAGGTGGAGGCCATGGTGGGTAAAAGAAATAGAATCTTCAATTTATTGAATGTTCATTATGTGTCAGTTACTGTTTGAAGCATTTCACATGCTATTCAATGTTAGATTTTATTACCTCTATTTTATAGATAAAGAAACTAAGGCTTAAATTGGTTAAGTAACTTGCTTGAGATTACAGAGTTCATAAGTATGGAAACCATGATTCACACTCAGGTTTTTCTGACTTCAAAGCCCATTCAATTAGTACATTGAAGTGAAAAAAAAAGTAGTTAGAAAAGAAGATTAATAAGACTGAGTGCTTGCTTAAGTATGGGTTAATAAGGACGAGGGAGAAGTCATGGATGTTTCCTAGGTTTCTGGTTTGTGTGACTATGGATCATGGGGTCACCAACAGACATGGGCCGATAGGAACAACAAGTTTTAGTAGGAAGATGATGAATTATCTTTACTAGTAGTCATCTTCTATTTTGCTAGTCTTATTTTTCTTTTTTTGAGACAGAGTCTCACTCTTTTGCCCAGGCTAGAGTGAGTGCCGTGGCGTCAGCCTAGCTCACAGCAACCTCACACTCCTGGGCTCAAGCAATCCTTCTGCCTCAGCCTCCTGAGTAGCTGGGACTACAGGCATGCGCCACCATGCCCGGCTAGTTTTTTCTATATATTTTTAGTTGTCCGATTAATTTCTTTCTATTTTTAGTAGAGACGGGGTCTCGCTCTTGCTCAGGCTGGTCTTGAACTCCTGAGCTCAAACAATCCGCCTGCCTCAGTCTCCCAGAGTGCTAGGATTACAGGCGTGAGCCACTGCACCCAGCCTGCTAGTCTTATTTTTAGAAGAATTTTTACATTCTTATTTTAACATATTGGTATATGGATATATATTTAGCTATTTTCCTGTGTTAACTCATTGTCTTTTGTTGTTAGCTTTTAATGTAGCAGTTTGTGAGCTCTTTATAACATAAATTCCTGTCAAAATTTTCAAATACGATTTGCTATTTGAAATATTACTATGAGCATTACCTTTTTAATGTTCTGCCTTATGTTTATTTAGTAAATATGTATGTCTCCCTATACCTCCAGCTTATTAATCTTTATCCATCTCACCCTGTGAACTAGGTTCTATGCTGACTTCAGTTTCTTTGAAAGTTTTATAATGATAAGTATATGTGATTGGTCATAGAGTCAGTGTCTAGTACCTCTAAGTATATTCTGAAATATATTTATCCATAACTCTTTTTGCTTTAATATTTTAGGCACTTATTCTGAGCATGGCTGTGCCTACTATTATAGGTCTCAGTTTATGGAAAGAGGTAAGAAAATCAGATTTTTATATTACTAAAATGTACTTTATCTACACGATAGTGATAACATTTATATGTGTGGGTATGAAACATTGAGACACTATTCTACAAAATAAAATGTGATATTCTTAGTAATGCTTAATTTTCTTATCATTAGGAAATAATAGAAAAGCTAAAACATTTTTAGAATGCCATTTTTAGAATGCAATTTTCTGTAGTCTAATTGCTATTGTTAATTCAGTTTATAATTGGTGAAGGAAATTGCTGAATAAATAGATCTTAATAATAAAGAATCATTGGGTATGGTGGCTCACACCTATAATTCCATTACTTTGGGAGGTCAAGGTGGGAGATTTACTTCAGGCCAGGAGTTTAAGACCAGCCTGAGTAACGTAGTGAGACCCCATCTCTTCAAAAAAATTTTAAAATTAGCCAGGCATGGTGACATGAGTCTGTAGTCCCAGCTACTTGGGAGGCTGAGGCAGAAGGATCGCTTGAGCCCGGGAGTTTGAGGTTGCAGTCAGGTATGATGATACCACTGCACTCTAGCCTGGGCAACAGAGCAAGAACCTGTCTCAAAATAAATAAATAAATGAATATTAAAAAATATTTTGGCAACTCCACAATTTTAATATTTATAAGGTGATATAAATTCTTTGACTTTTCATAATGTAACATGAAACCTATTCCCACTAAACTTGCAAATTATTCGACCTGAAATTTGTTTATTTATGTATTTATTTAGTGTGTGTGCATGAAGGATACAACTGATGATTAATTTATCATTGTTTGGTAATGATTAAATTATTTATGGAGTCTAGGCAGTGAATTAACCATAGCATAGGCTAAATTATTTGGATTGCAAAGAATAAACAAGTTGTTGAAAGAAAGCAAAGAGATCCATGAAATTTTTTTCCATGAGAACAGTGTTGTAATATCGTTTGCCTGCAGTTAGTCTCTTAGTCTTTTGAAATACTCTGGAACAGATTTAAACTTTCTAATTACTTACACACACCTTTTGGGGATTTTGTTTTGCATTTTAGTTTTTTCCAAGATTAATGACAGAATTAACGGAACTACAGGAATTCTATGACCCAGATACAGTGGAACTTATGACCTGGATAAAGTAAGAAATGAACTGCCCAAGATTATTGTTAAGCTTTGTTAATTGTTGCATGCTATCTGATGGATTCAGGGGAAATAATAAATTTATATGTTTCCAAATTCTTCTTATAAAACTCAGGTATTTTATCTTATGTTTTTAGGGATATTTAGTTTTCGATTGGACATTATTATTCCAATTTTATAACTAAACTCATCCCCTTGGGCTTGAAAATATATGAGATTTGAGACTCCCACTATCAAACATCTAGAAATACAGCATAAAAAAGGAACAGATCTCCTTTTATTTAGATAGTCAAGAGGATGCCTGTTTTGTCTTGGGTTGGAGATAGATAGGTGGTGGATTGGTAGTTTTGATAACCAAGGGGTTTAGAATTTAATGCTCCCATAAGACAGGAGATGTGGTCTTGGGCCTATGGAAGAAGGGAGTTGGCGTTGAGACCCCCCCAAAACACACAAATATAACTCAGGGACCCTCAAAAGGCTACACTGTCAGTGAAAAGATGGAATAACAAAATATCCACCAAGTGGTAGAGAAAGATGATGAGAAAGTACAGTTTCTCTTGGCTTCAGCCCTTGGTCAAAAAAGTTTCCCCTCTGAATTTGTAACAGTAGATGTGAATTCTTGTGGTTTTGTTGTTTGAAATTATACTTGTCTAATCCAGGAAACCCCAGATTGAGAAATTAACATAAAAATGGTTTTGGGCTGGTCTGGGATGCCTGATACCTTCTCAACTCAGGCTACACAGAATTCAGTAAATAAAGTTTCATGAAGTTGAGCTCCAAAATTACAAAGCACTTGAAGAAGCAATTCAGCACAACCAAGTATCAGCTGTTATTTGTCATAAACAGCAAAGTTAGACCTGTTCCAATTTCTGATAATAAAATTTGTTTGTATCATTTAGCATTTGCTACCTAAGTCTACCACAAAACTTAGTAGCTTACAGACAATAAGCATTTGTTATTTCACACCATTTTGAAGGTCAGGAGGGCGGAGGCAGTGAGGAAGATTCTGGTGTGACCCATCCCAGCTTAGAGTGTATAGTCCGGAATGGCCTCTGTCACATGCCTGGGGTTGGCTAGGTGACAGCTAAGGGGATCAAATTGACTTGGTCCACTATCTCTTATCACCTAGCAGGTTATTACAGGCTTGTTCACAAGGTAGTAGTTGTAGAGTTCCCAAGAGCAGCAAGAGAGGGGTCTCAATGTCAAGCATGTTTTAAGTCTCTGCTTACATTATGGTTGCTATCATTCTATTGGCCAGTGCAAGTCACATGACCAAGATCAATGTTCCCTCCAAGACCATGGCTATGGAGAGAGAAATTCTTGCAGCCATTTTTATAACCAATCTACTCCATTGATGGAGATTATGAAATAACTACATTGCAAATTATTAAAGACATAAAAGAAATGAAAACATGAAAAAGGAATGAAACACTATTTAAAAAAAAAGCCCAGGAAATCATGGGAAAAAAAGACAAAATGTTTCTAAGAATGAGGAATAGGTTTATAGAATAGGTAATAGAAATGAGAATAGTCTTATTATAATGTCATGTTGCTATAAAGACACCCTTGTATGTATAAAAATTGTCTTCTTTAGATCACCCATAACTATTATGCATTGATACTTTTTGTGAATTGTATTTTGCCATTGTGGAGCACTGACTATACAGCCTTGTGTTGTCCATTAACAAAAGAGGAAGTTACATCTCTGTATGTGATTTACCACAGTATTTTAAAAAACATAGCAAAGGCCTGAACAATTGTACAATTGGATACTTGTGTTGCTGTGGTGTAATCATTCTGTTTTGTGTCTGTTTCCTCACTACTGAAGACAATGGCCATGTGCCATGTCTTTATTTCTAGAGGCCGGCACATAGCAGGTAGGTGCTTAATGTTGAATACAGGAAGTGAATAAATAAGTGAAGGCTTAGAGCCGCCCTTTGGGACCTGTTTGTAGGTTACCTGCCTTGAAAGTGGCATCTATCTGGGACTTCAGATCATGATTTAAAGTGGAGAAGTCTATATGTGTTACCTGGAGACAGGCACATGGGTAAAGATAGGGAAGGAGCAGGAGGAGAGATGGATCTGGAAGGAGTTGGGTTATGGTGGCTAATATTTGCAAAGATGAACTTGAGAATTTACAGCATCACCACTAAACTCTATCTAAAGTAATATATTCTTGTTACATCCCCTTACCCTGCTTTATCACGTTATTACCAGCTGACATATATATTTACTTATTGTCTCCCCCTGCTTCCTCTTTTTTAAAAAAGTTTCTGTATCTTCGGCACTCAAAACAGTGCCTGGTGCATAGTAGGTGCTCAGTTATTTTTGAATGACTCTATAAATGAAATGAAATGAAAACTGACATTGCAACTTAGGTTTGCCTGGTATTTCAAAGTTGATATAAATCAGTGATCTAAATAGTGTACTTGCCTTTTCATTGTGTAAATCTATGGTTCTTTGCAGAAGGCAAGCTCCAGTTGCAGCTGTGTTTGCAGGGAGTCCACAGTTAATGGGTGCAATTAAATTATGCACTGGATGGATGGTGACAAGCTTGCCTCTTTATAATGATGATGATCTTCTCAAGAGAAATGAAAATGTAAGGCATTTAAAATTTTACATTTGGATCTTTTTCACAGCACCCTGTATTTTAGTATAGTCTATAGTGACGCATGTGTTCCTAGTTAGCCAGGGAAATCCAAAGAATTTTAGAAGAGTTAACTAGCTTTAGTTTTTAAAAATCTGCATAATATAATACATTTAACCAAGAGCACAGCCAAAATTAAAATATTACATTCTTTGTTTTAGGAATAGTATTGCTGTGTTTCTAGGAAAAAAATATTATTCTCCACAAAGTATCAAGGGACTTGATTTGTAATATTTCATAAAGGGAAATACTCTTGAAAATATTATTGTTCTCAATTAAATTATTGAAGGAAGACTGTCAGTGTCTTGATACACTTTGTCTTTCTAAGCTAAAATTCTATTACTGCTTATAAAACACTGATTTTTTTAAAAAAATGGGCATTTATTAATAACTCAGTGTAACATTAGAGTGATATCTAATTAATTATAGTTTAGAGAATATATTATCTTGAACAAGTCTTTTCTAATTGGCAAGAATGTAAAAATACTTTAAAATAGTTATAGAATATGAATTAATGAGTTTATTAGAGTTAAAACTATTGTGAATTTAATTTCTTTGACTAAAATTTTATTTATTGAAATTTAGCACTGGAAAATTATAACAAAGGTCACCCACCCCATTTCTCTCATTATGAAAATTAGAATATTGAGGCCTAGTAAAACAAATCATTTTTTCAGTGCTTTATAGAGTTTTTAGTATTCTTAGTCCATTGTTCAAAATCTGCCAGACCTAACTTGGTACAGACAATTTATTACCGTGTCATTTGTGAACATAAAATAGAAATCTAAATAGCTAAAAATTTTAAGAATAAACTTTTAATTTTGGAATAATTTTAGGTTTATAGAAAGATTGCAAATATACTACAGAGAGTTCTTGTGTACCCTTCACCCAGCTTTCCTCTAATGTTAACACCTTACATAACCATGGTATATTTGTCAAATTAAGAAATTAACATTGCTACAATACCATTAACTAAACTGTAGACTTTATTTGGATTTCATCAGATTTTCCACTAATGTCCTTTTTTGGTTTGCACAGCCAATCTAAGAAACTACATTGCATTTAGTGATTGAAAAAAATGTTTTAATTTGAAGTGTGTTTAGAATTTATTTATTCTTTTTGAGGAGAAAATTTTAGGGTGGAATTTTCCAAGTATGGTTTACTATTAAGATGTTAATAGACATTAATGTGGACACATGGGTTCTATGAACAAATGTTACATTAAACATGTACTGTATGCTTGGCACTATTCCAGGTGCTAAGGATAGGGTCCTTGCTCTCCTGCAACACATTTGGGAAGATAAACAACAGACAACTGTAAAAACAATTCTTAGAGCATCATGCAAGACTAATGTTTATGGAATACACTTTAAGAAATCCATCTCTTTAGATATTCTTCTATTAGATTATTGGTGGTTGCTAAATTTGCCTAAATTATTTTCCATTTACTTTGCATATTACAGTGGAATATTTTGAATATTTTAATCATGAGAATACACTTAATCACACAACACACATATATGTATACACACACATATAGACAGAGAGTCTTTGCTTTTTATATATTTATTTCAGCTCAAGTAGGTTAATAGTTTTTGCTCAGAAAATTACTCCTAAGTTCTTAAGTTTCTATGTTCTATGGAACATATGAAGGATGGTCTTGAGAAGCTTAAGTGCACATCATTTGTATAAATCTGGAAAATTTATTTCTGACCAGAAGTGATCTTTATCTTTAAACTCTTCTCATATCACACAATTTTTATTCACAACACAAAAATCAAAGATCATAACAGTAAATTTTTAAAACGAAAAAATCCACCTGTCACGTTTTTGCCCCAAACAACTTTTAAAATTTTTTACATTCCCTAGTCTGTGTCTATGTACATTAAATATTTTTATATGGTTGTCATTAGAATTGCATAATATGATTTAGAATTTAATTATATACCGCATTATATTTGCTATTTGTTTTATAGTTAGTCTTGACTGCTATGAAACGTGAGTATAAGCTTCACGAGGGCAGAAATCAAGTCCTAGTGAATATCTTTATTTTCCATATATAGTACTCAGTACTAAGAATATAGTAGATGCTCAACATACAGTTTTGATTAATGGAAGTTTTAAATGCTTTTTAAAATAATTTTAATTATATTCTTTCAGATCTACCAAATCTATTCAAAACGATCTGCTGAGGATATTTATAAAATACTGACATCCTACAAAGCTAATTACCTAATTGTGGAGGATGCTATCTGCAATGAGGTGGGAACCATGAGAGGCTGTAGGGTTAAAGATTTATTAGACATTGCAAATGGCCATGTAAGTAACCATTTGGAAAGTTAATTATTTTTCAGAAAAACGACTGTTTAAACTGGTAATCATCAAACTTCAGTTTTGGAACTTAACTAAGAATGTAATTAAGAGTTATATAATAATGGTGAGGGCTTATTCAAAATAGTTTGAAGTATTTTTTTTTGAGACAGTCTCTCACTGCGTTGCCTGGGCTAGAGTGCCGTGGCGTCAGCCTAGCTCACAGCAACCTCAAACTCCTGGGCTCAAGCAATCCTTCTGCCTCAGCCTCCCGAGTAGCT